GTCTAGAAATATATATTCTTACACTCTACTCGTATACACGTGTACAATGGCATATAACTAAGAGTAGCACAACGTCAAGTGATGCGAGGTTTTCCCGCAATGCTATTTAATAATGTCTCTCCTGTACATTGAAACTGAATTCTATACGGACAGAAATTCTAGGTATACAACTAGTATACTTGAATGTCTGTCTGTTTAGAGAATGCTTTTCTAAATTTATATCTTCTTGACTACACGTAAGGCTTGGAGATTATGTTAATTAAGATTAAATACTCTCTTTGTCTCTGTACTCAAATCAAATAAAACATATAACGGTTTCAAACGCAAAATAGATTAGGTAATTTTTATTACAACTCAACAACGGCGACGGCACAGCTGTTGTAAAGCGAGTCATAGTCAAATTTAGTAATATATTTTGCGTTTCATACCGTTAGTATTTAATATATACTTCTAATATTTCTCTAGCATCGTGTATCATTAGCGCGAACGGTTCACGTCGAACAAACATTAAGAATTAATTCACTTGTTTAAATAAAACACTTTAACGGTTTAAAACGCTATATATTAGTTAAACTTATATGAAAATCATATTTAACTTCGGCCCGACGTTTCGGATGCTTTGCAGCAGCCGTGGTCACGGGGAGACTGCCCGAAGTTAAAAATAATTTTCAAATAAGTTTAATTATATCGCGTTTTAAACCGTTAAACTGTTGTATTTAAATGTGTACTACTCGCGTAAATTATAGACAGTAATTCACTTGTTTTCATTACAACACGACGCTCCTTTGTCTCTCGGCCGTGACCAGAGTCGATGTAAAGAATACATCGAGTCGTAGTTACTTAAAACAACATATTTCGAGTTCTAAACCGTTAATGCCTATTTCATATAAACTTTTAAAATCCTCAAGCAACGTATTAAACATGAGACCATGGTGTCGAATGAAAAGAAAACGTTACGTAAAATAAAATGAACGTCAAACTTGCGAATGCCTTTTTAAGCGGCCATATTTGAAGCGGAACTTTTCTAAACTTCCGCATATACATGAGGAAAAAATCAAAGGACCAATTAGGGCAAAGCCCGTTATGCTCAATTACACCGATACACACGGAGCGGAAGATTGTTTTCGTTAAACAAAGATTACTTTAACCGTATTAAAGACCTGTATGTATATAAAAAAGCCTTTGTGAATCAATGTTACAATTCCTAGGATTGCGTAAAGCGCAAGTGTTTTAGGGTTCGAATTATGAATTTTTAAATTACGATAGGAATTTCACTATACAAGTTTTTATGTATAGATTTATACTTACTTAGATGCTTAATTAAATTACCTATGATATCTTGTACTTTTCAATTAATTTTGTAATGAATTTTTTAATTTGTAATACTTGTGTCTTGCAGTAAATAAAAATATAATAAGAAAATAATTATAAATAAAAAGCGAAAACCATCTACCTTTTTAGTAATTCGAAAATTAATTATTGGTATTCAAATTGTTGTTTATTTTTTCCCGAGTCCAGGCACATTTTGATAGAGTAATTTTGATAGTCCTGTTTTCTCTAGAATTCCTGAAGTTTTTATGATCCTATTAATTGGGGTTCACATGGACAGAACCTTATTTATTGAAGACACAATTAATATCTAGAATTTTTCTTTCATCCATTGGTGTCAAATATGAAGGTTACTCACAATTTTCCACTTGTTGTATGTCATAGCTTTTTAAATAAAAAACTAAATAATGTTGATGATAGTGATGGTGTGATGGTGATGCTGCGTTTAATAGTAACTTCTCGATTCTTTTTCATGTTTCGATGTCGGTATGTACCAAATATGAAGGCTGCTAACGAGTTCCACTTGTTTCGTGTTAGCTTACAGCTTCTCAGATATAGCTAAAGCTGGTAAAAAGGTACCTATGAATCGACTTGTGGTTTTATAACTGGGAAACCCTTACGTAAATCTCTCTACTATGCGCTTTGTGGAGATTGCTTTATGTAAACCTACATTTGAATTGCATCTTTTGTTTACAAACAATGGGTTTTAGAAAGGAAAATTTTATTCAGTTCACGTAGCTTCTATTATTATCAAACTAAACAAAGGAATGGTTTTGTATTGAGTATTTTCACTCTTAACTATTGAAAATTAATAAGGAATACTTTTTATAAGAACAAAATTTAAAAATTATTTATTTCTGTGCGTTGAGTACATTTATGGACGTTCATACAACGACATCCAAATTCAAAGTTAATACTAGGTCTCAAACTGACAGGAAGCTTGGAGGTCGTACAAACGTGTTCCCAGGGCTCCCTCAAAGCACCGTAGAGGGCTGGTGGTGTGTGGTGGTGGCTGGTCATCTATACGATTGACCACACTCCCCATGTCACTATTGCCCGACGTGAGCGTTAGGCTTTCATACCATCAGTTAAAAAAAGGCCTCAAATGCTCGTACATGATAACTGGCGTAAAAATGATAGGTGCGCTAACAAGTTGTCAATTTGTTTTCATAACCCTTTGTGTACACGATTTCAAAGTCAAAAACCAAAAAAAAATACGAAACCATTCAAATTCGGTATTGAATAATTATTTAAATCCTTTTTTCTAAAAGCCAGTAACACATTTCCGGAGCGCCATTAGAGTGGAATCGACATCACAATTTAGGGCATACTGTGCCAGTTAGGTCAGAATCATTGTAGTTAATGGCTAATATTACCCTATGTTTCATCTTGGTAGTTGGCCCAGCATGTCAAATACCCAAATGACTGATATATCATAGTAGTTGATTACGATATATATTTTGGTGGTTCTTAAGTTTTTTAAGTTAACCATTTCAAAAACCCAAGAAATACTTTTCTATTTTGATATTTCACTAAGCTGCTTTGTAGCTCTTCTTAATGTAAGCTGTACTGTAATATCATGGTTGTCTGATATGCCTTTTACCTCATAAGAAAACAAGCCCTCATTTCTCCAGTCCCATAATTGTCAATTGCTATCGCGAATAAAAATAACAAAAGCAGACACCACTTGGCCCGAAGCGAAATCAATGTTCAAAGCTTCATTCCAGCAGAGTTTTATTCAGTATACAAATTTGAACAAGTCCTGATTGCTTTGACTGAAGCAGGTAACTTTGATGTCTTTATTTGAATGATACTGCGGTAGAAGACGTGGAAATTGGTTCACTTCTGTATTATTGTGCACATTTCTTTACCGTGTCTGTAGCTCAATTATCAAAGCGAGAGAGTATTGTATGTAGTTTACGCTAATAGTACATTAAAAAAAAACTTTTTAAACCGATTAAAATACGATACATATTAGGTAACAAATATATATCGCGTTTTAAACCGTTTAAGTGCTTCATTAAAAATCAAGCGGCAAACTATAAATTGTTTCGATCGGGTAGGGCATATTTGAGGCAGTATTTTAATTTGATTGAAATTGACATAAAAATGTGTTCGCCCTATGTTCCACAGGGGCAAAGAAATAAATTGTTTACTTTGCATAACGCATTTTCTAAATGTTATGAGCAAATTACTAAGAGCTATCACCATATTATATAGGTATATTAATTATTGTTTCTGTTATTTATTATTTAACTGTCGGGGTCGTTGTGTCTAAGTAGGTGTATGGGTAGGGTCGTGGAGTCGATCACCACCGGATCCTAATTTTTTAAATAAAATATTTTGTTGGACTACGTCTGTAAATCTGGATTAAGTGGACGGTAGGAAAGTCAAAAGCCAAAATTTTGCGCAGTCGATTTTAGACAAGATGTTATATGGCTGAGAGTGTCACCACGTGAAGTGTGCTTGTGTGTCCTCCTCTATCACAAACTATTGTTGCTTTGTAAAAAATATCGTTAATGATAGATAATAATTACAATTATTTCGTTATCTTACCAAAACCAGTGAGAAACGCCTATAATTCCATTTTACGTAATCCTTTTTCTCCGAGCCATTCCCTCACATATCACACGTTAGTTTTTACACACGTTCCGTAGAGGAATTAATTAAAATCCTGGATACATTCCAACTTCCGACGTGGATTTACATAGTATGTTTGTCCTGTATGAGTTCGGAATTGTTCTTGATGGAAACATTATATTAGAACTGTGAAGATCCGTTCTCGTTTGTTTTAATTAGTAGATACACTTAAATTCAACATTGTATGAGAGATCTTTATTCTTGCTTTACCTTGGCTTATTCAAGGAAAAAATATAAATGTCGTAATCAATGCGACAAAGTACTACAAATTGTGTTTTTCTGTTTAATAAAACAGTTTGGATGACTTACAATGCCAAAATGAAATATAATTTTTAATTTTTAAGTACGACCCGACGCCTATCTTATCCAGGGCTTAGGCTGCAGAAGCGAAACTAAAAAATTTAAATTTAATAGAGATAAATAAAAATCATAGATTCTCAGTATATATAAGTGTATATTCAATTTCTCTACAACTAATAGTGTTGTTTCTTGTTTCTCAAAACACTTGAACTAGCGTACACGAAAGCTTCAGCTGAAAATAACTGCCTAATTCAGTTTAGTAACGTGTAATAGCTGTAGGCGCCTTTCAAGATCTGAAATCAAAGAAAATACGTCTCGTACTCACGGTTAGACAAAGTATTAAATAACAGACAATTTCATTGCATTATTTAACAAAAATGATGCAATGAAATTAGTACAATTACATTCTGGCGTTGTTTTAGAATACGACATTTAGGACCTTACAAAATAAGATAATTTCAATAAACATTTATAAAATTATGAATGCCGAAATACATTTGGTAACACGTATAAATCATCACCCATTACATGTGTCGTAATTTTTTGAACTTATAATCGTTTTTAATTAACATATATTTTGTCTAATGTTTTGTTATAGGACATGCGTGTTTCTGAATGATATTTTCCTTCACTAGAATTCTACTTTGGCCTATTTTCGCTCTTAATCGAGAATCGAACTCGTAAGCAACGCTCTTGATAAATATACTTCACTAAAATGAGCATAGGTAGAATTATAAATGGATATTTACGTTAATAAATGTAGCTACAGTTAGATCGTTGAAAGGCCCCGCTGTAAATACAATAGTTTTGTTCATCTGATCTATAAGGATGCTGATGTCTTTCTGCTCAGATGTTGCTTGAGACCACCATTCGCTCTCGTATGGGCCTAGCATAAGATCCCTACTCTGAAAGAACAGAAACGGCGTTGACATCTAAAATTCACTTCAGAAGTATTGTTTGACGTTTATGCGAGTAGTACACGTATAAAAAAAAACACTGTTAACTATTTAGGACGCTGTACAACATCAAGAACATAAGGTCGTAGTTTAAAATAAATTAACATATTACACGTTTTAAACCGTTAAAATCGTTTTATATTAGTATTTGAGGAGGTTTCAGATGAAAATTGATGAGTCATAGGCTTAGCTACTGTAAATAAATTGTGTAAGGCGTTCACGGCCTTGTCGTAGCTACTTGTAGTTGTGCGTCAACCATGTTTTTTTTTACAGTTGCGTAATTACTTTTTTTATTTACAAAAATTGAATAGAAAATTGGTAACTTTCTTGAGGTTCAAATTAATAAGGCAATAACTAAGACAATAATGAAATCTGTTTGTAGTACTTGCAATTTTACTGCTACTACGCTGCTAATCAAATAAGACCAAAAATAAAATGACATTAGAAGAACTATGGATACTTACCGCGTAGTAGACGTCGTTACTATGCCAACAGTACATAAACAACTGCGCAATACCGAAAATAAGAAATTCAGCGATAAGAAACTGTTGCATGGGATTGGTTTGAGCCTGAAACAAATTTTTCAGTATCTATTGTTAAAATGATACACTTTTAACGGTATAAAACGCAATACATATTAGTAAACTTATTTTTAATTGGTTTTAATTACGGTCCCGGGGGATAGGACGGAAACGTTGGGCCGTAGATGAAATTTGTAAATTTCGCGTTTTAAACGGTTAAAACTGTTTTATTTTAATGTGTACTGCTCGTGTAAAATACAAACAATACTTTCGTTTACGCAAATAGAACACATTTTAATAAAACACTTCTACCGGCTTAAAACAGGAATTATATTAGTAAAAATATTAAGTACGGTCCGACTCTTCGGATGCTTTGCAGCAGCCGTGTAACAGTTTGCCGTGACCACGGCTACGGCAAATACAATTAAATATTTATAGCATAATAGGCGTTTAGTATTATAATTTTACCGTGATTTGATAAGCTGTAGCACATAGCATTACAGAGCAAACAAACATATACAACAGCATTATTGGCGATAGACAGGAATCGAAAAGCTTCGCATTACTGAAAGAGAAAATATCTTTTTGTAGTTAATCTAATAGATAAGTTATGTAAAAAACATCTTTTAAAAAACATCACGTTGCAGGTAGGATTTAAACAGTCAGTATACGTAACGTACCGTAATTTTAAATAAGAAACCGATTTTAGATTAAAAACGACACGACACGGGCAGGATTTAAACCCGAATCCACATTTCGTTGGACGTTCTGTGTCGTTGCTCTAACCAATTGACCTACCGAATCTTTTAAGTAAGTATTTTGTGAGTTACATACGTAAATACTGTCTGTAGTTTACGCGAGTAGTACACATTTAAATAAAACACTTTAACGGTTTAAAACGCGATATATTTTAGTTCAACTTGTTTGAGAATTATTTTTAACTACAGCAGCCGTGGTCATTCGGGAGATCATCAGAGGTTAAACTAATTCTCAAACATTACATAAGTATTTTGACGATCTCAATACTTTCAAGCTTTCTTGAGTTTTCATTTTGATATTAAGAATTATTAAAATATCGGCATTTAAATATCAAGTAACGGTAACCGAAGTAAGGATGAAAAGTAAGGCAGTTACTTATTAAACGATACTTTTATCGGTTAAAAGCAAAACAATTGATCAAAATTATTTTTTTTTGTAAATATATGTTTAATGTTACTTTTCAATATATTTAGTTGAAGTTGTCCTTACATTTTTGTTAGATACACAAGTAGTAAGAATTATTATTAGAAATATATATTGTTAGGTTAATTATGAACTCTAGTTGGTAAGCCTTTTATTAATAAAATTATATATATATATATATATGTTTTTAATTTTTGGGCTTAGCTACTGAAAGTCTTGTTTTCCTCAATTATTCAATGGCTAAATAAAGTAGGTAAATGTTACTTTGTTTTGGGACATAACCCACCTAAAAATATACTAAGACGTCACTCGTTTAAAATTCATACATAACACATAACAATGGCGGAGGTTGAAGGCTTTTGCAATTTCACATTTTCCGCCTCAGAAGCTCCTTTTGTTAAAACCTCGAATTACATGTAAAGAGTAATTTCTCGAAGATTTGTAACTAAGCCGTATTTGTAGGAGGCTTTTAAGGAATTAGCCGGGAAGTAAAAACAGGGATGAAAGCCCGCGATCAAAGTGGGTCTACACGTTTTTGCCGAATTATCTCATCGGATTATTTGATACATTTTAGGGTTCAGTATGTGGTTATGATAAGAAGTAATAAAAACTAAGTAAAGTTAAATACCGTCTGTAGTTTACGAGAGTAGTGCTCATTTAAATAAAACACTTTAACGGTTTAAAATGCGATATATATTAGTTAAACTTATTTGTAAATTATTTTTACTACGGCGACGTACTGATCACGGGGAGACAGCGTTTTAAACCGTTAAAGTGTTTTATTTATATGTAAACCTTACCTTATCTTCTAAAAATTTAGGTAGTTCGAATTTTAATTAGCTTAAATATTCAATAATAAGTCCAGTATGTTATATTACAGTGCATGGGTATTTTACTAGTAAATTGTATACATCCACGTTTTCCCGGGATTCAAAACCAAGATCTCTGGCGCTTTAAAAGCTAGTTAACATATTTTACCATTAAGTCCCAAAGACATTAAAAGTTTGTACAGTAACCAAGGCATAAAGTAAATTATAACATTTGAAAACCACGGATTAATTAGAAATGCAATTGAAAAGAAAAGTGATACAGAACCCGTGAAGTATTTCTCGATTCAGCTATTTTTGTTCTTGCTATATATCGAATTGCTAACTCAATAGGACCTTATTAATTGCAACACAAAGGGACGATGAAGCTTTTAAAGATAATTGCCTTAATTACAAGACTTCTGACTTTTTTTTCGTATAGGTAGGTACAAGTATAACGAAATATATAAAAAGAATGTGTGTCCATTTTTGTTTTTAAACATTCGGGAATTTAAAAACTTAATAAGATATTACTACATGGCTCCTCCTGTACATTTGGGTTATATAATGTCAAGATTTTTGCGACATAAGGTTTGCAAAATCTGAAATTATTTTTACCTTTAAACAAAACACTTTAACTACGATCAAGAGAAAAAATGACATGGAATCAAGAGAAAAAGAGTTACAGTGCCATCATTTTATATTAAGCTACGTATTCAAATGTAACACAGTCCAGTTACAGTACAGTAAAGTCGCGCGAAAAATGTATATCCCAAACTAAGACAAGCATCACGTTTCACAGGCCATAAAGCGAACTAGAAGATTTATCACTCAAATGTACATTTCAACAGATATTGTCGAAGTTAAATTGAGTTTTCGCACGACTTCCAATTTCGTACATATGTTTTGGGGTGCGGCCAATAGACGACTTTAAGACGTGGTCTTAAAGTCGTCATTTCAAAGAACGTCTGGGGTAATAATATTTTCAAGAATGTGCTAAGTAAACTTAGAATAATTGACATTTCATTAATTTTGTTATTGTTTCTTTCAAAGACAGCTGAAACTCGGGAAGTAATTATCATTAAGAATACCGTCAAAATGAGGATTAAATTAAATTACTTTGCTATGTATTTGATGGTTTTTACTCATAAAAGTTTAAACGGTTTTAAACAGGAACCATTTTGGTAACATTATTTGATTATTGTATAAAGCCTCCGAAGCGAATGTTTTAATAATTGTGTATTGTATAGACAGACAGTAGACAAAACGAACCAGATATTCTTAAAATTTTCATTTTTGTTAAAAAGCTATACTTATAATGAATAAAATGTTTGTAACTGATTTACACTTCAACGGCTTGACTACTATTGATAGAATTTGATATTTTTGTAGTTTGCCCCCTGAAATAACTTATACGCTCTTTTTTATCTTGCAAATTGTCATGTTCCCATAGACTGACTTATAATCGTGTAATTTATGGTTAAAATTGCATGTTCTAGTTATGTACTGTTAAAACCATCGCGTGCGCATCTAATAGTTGTAAATGACTTACGCAATCAAATCCACATGCCGCCGATGACAATTCTTCAACCTGTCTCTCGCGACTGAAACATCAACCTTCTTATCTTTCCCAAATATATTTCCGCAATCCAGCCTCAACATTTCCAATTCCGCTTTGAAAAACACCATTATTACTATTGCGTTAGTATCGAATGATGTTATCCACCCCCCTCCATAGATGGCGCCATAGCTTTGATAGAAAGAGGCAGCTATATGTCCGTAGATTGTGTTCTTGTTAAACGGCACCCAAGAACTTACTACTTCGATATAACTCTCCGTTCCGTTCCTAACGTTGTCTCTATATGTTGGTGACGATATAAACTTCACTAATGGCTGACCGATTACGATTACCACAGTCGTGTACATCAATGACCAGTAGAGATAAGTAATTTTTCGGCAGTATTTAGTATATTTTTTTATTATGTCATTCTTAGCAGAATCTGCAGTGCCTCTCTGAGCCAAGTCGGATCTATTAACATAATCTATGACGCTTTTCCACTGCTTCTGCCATGCCAGGAAAGTGGAAACCTTAGCTACACTCACCGTTGCCAAAAGGGTTATTTTAACGTTGTTTAAAAGCAAATTCATATCGTCTTTGACAAACCAGATATCGACGTATTCTGTGGCTGTGAAAATTGTAACTAATAGATGCATTGAAATGTAAAAGATCCTCTTGAAAACATTTTGGGGTAAGATTAGCCCCCAAAATGTGAGTGCCTTGTAATTTGGTCCCAGTAAGGGCCGCGATCGGTTCTCAAGTTTGTCGAATAGTTGTCGCAACATATTTGTGAAATGATTTTTTGCTGTTTAACGAGCTGTTATAAAGGTGCTAAGTAATTAATAATAGACCAGAAAAGGAATAGGGGTGGAATATATCGATGTTTTATAGTTTCGATTCTAAAAATATGTTTGATGATAATATTCCGAAAAACTGAAAATTATAATATTTTCTTTATATAAGTGTTGCTTGTCAAATATAAATACATTTTTCAGCAACAGCTGAACAATATCCTTGCAAAAGAAAATGCGTATTTTGTAAGTTTTTTTATTATATTTTGAATGTATTTTTAATTAGATGTAATTCCAAAATTCCTAGTTTCTCTCCAATTAGTCAAATAAATTTTAGCATAACAATCGTTAAACTCCAAATATATAATAAATTTTAATATTACATCTATATTGAAATAAAAGTAAGCGCTCACTTAGACATAAAGTCTGTATGACGCTGATAACAAAAATACAGCCATAAAATTCTCGTCATGTACTCTGTGACCTTATAAACTCATTCTTGAACTTCATCATGACAATATTATATGACTACATTAAATACTAGCTGTGGCCGCGATTTTGGCCGACTGGAGTAGTCATATGATTTTTTTTTTGCAAATAACTTCCGCAGATTTATAAATTATTACTGTTACCCATGACGTCGTCCGCGTTCCATCAGTCTTGCGAGTTAATCTTAAAATATATATATTATCGCAAATATTGTATTTGGTAATTTAAAGAAAAATCATTCTTTTTTATATACTTTTTTCTTAAGCCGTTTCTGCAGCACACTCAACGCCCTCAAAGACTTATAATTTTCGCCTTTTTCTCCTCATTTGCCTCTGTTTCTTCGCTTTGGTCACAATTGGTCACCACCGGATGTTTTACAGCCTATAACTTTTCTCGATAAACAGTCCAAGTAACACAAATTCAATTCGAACCAGTAGTTCCTGAGATTGTAGCGTACAAACAAACAAACAAACTCATCCGCTTTATAATATTAGTATGAGTAGATGAGTATGATCTTACGACTATGTTATAATCTGCTTCGCAGACTAGGAATGTAGGCTTAATATATCGCCTAAATTCCAAGCCTTTATTACGAATATTCTGTGCCATACAATGTGTGTTTGAATTACTATGGTGTGTCGTAAGTCTAAAGTGCTCATTTTGATAAAACAGACAGATATAAAAACTGGGCGGGACTCAAACCCACGAGACTGTGTTTCAATGTTAATGGATTTACGTTTATATAAGTTTTGATATGAAGCTATTTTTATATTATAATTAATGTTTATCATAACGTTTTTATTTCAATTAGTTTTTATACTTCTATGTAAAAATATGTTGTTAAAAATAGTTTGAGTAAGAAGGATGTTTTGTATTAAATACTGTCTGTAGCTTACCACCATAGTTGTCTCCCTGTGGATGTAGTTGAAAATAATTTTCTAAAAAGTTCAACTAAAATATATCGTGTTTTAAACCGTTAAAGGGTTTTAATTAAATGTTTTGTATTTCTCATAGGAAAATATTTCATCGACATATTAGTAACATCGCTAGATATAATAAGGTTTAATTTCGTTAGGTGTGTTGATATCGTTATTTCAACAAGAAAATAACGGTACAAAGAATAACGTACTCGTAGATCTTGTGAAAATACAAAAACGTTTCTTAGAAGATCTATTTTGTGATAATGTTTACTTTATATTACAGGGGATGTATATTTTAGGTAAGATTTTAAAGCTTTACAATTCCATGTTTTATCAATCACATAAAAAACCTGGTTGCCAAATTGGAAAAGATTTTAATTGTATATGAAAATATGGATTATTATTTTTTTCCTTTATTAATTATATGCGTGCTGCTAGATTACTGATCTGATTTTTGTAGCCAAATAGTTAAAAAATAGCCTTAAGCGAGAGTGGTCGTGGCTTTGAAACCCGGGAAAACAATCTATTATTTCGGTCGAGCAAGTCTGTTCAACTACTGTCCTGTAAAAGGACTGATCAGTAAAACGGAGAAATGTGTTCGCCCTATGCCCCAAGTGAGGGAAGGGGGGAAATGGGATGTCACACTAGATACACTATGTCACACACTGATTGTACTCAGTGCGGACGAAAGATAAGTAATATAAAAAAGTTAGTAGTAAAAAGTAAGTCTTTTTTATCTATGACATACAATTTTAACACCAAGCCATAATTAGCGACTGATTTCTTTATTTGACGTGTCAGTATTGTGTTGAATGTAATTGGTATGTAGTCACTTTGTTAACAATACAAGATCATGTATTTTTGAAAATGGGTCGCAACTGTTTTTTTGTTATTCTGTTATAAGCTTCTTTTTTAGAAAAAAAAAATGCATAATTCTTAATTTAGATTAAAGCTATGTTTAGTAGTAATTGTAATTAATATTATAGATTACTAATCAATTTTTATATTGTATTTCATAAATAAAGTCAAAACACTGAAACCGTTTATAACGCAATATGTACTGTCAAATATGTTTCCGGCCTATGTTGCATATGCTTTACACGAGTAATAGTCATCATACTAAACGACGCATCAACTCTATCAAAGATAAAGGCTCACGTGAGACGTACATATTAAATAAAACACTTTTAACCGTTCTGAACGTGAATTATATTATTTCATAGACTTTTGTGTCGCACACGTGTCAGATTTTTCAGCAGTATCTATTCCCTAAAGTATATTAATGTGCTACAGAGTCATCTTTTTCTTCGTAATTTATATCTGCAGAGAGAAGCCCTTTCCCGAATAGGCTCGCGATGTAATTCTTCGTATTAGTTTATCTATTGATGGGAATTTATTTGTATTTATTAAATTTAAACCCTGCTATGTAAAGTCTATCTATACATGTATATTATATATATGTATAGCTATTAATACTATATGAAGTAGGAACATATGCGTGCCTGCTTTTAGATACTAGTCTTTCCAAAAAGCCGTTTTACCAATGACGTCATAATTACTAATAACTCCCATCCAACAATAGACTTCACGCATCGCCGCTTACCCATGAAGATAGCGGGGATGTTTATTCGGAAAATAATAGTTCGTGATTTGCGAGGCGTGCTATTATTGACTGTTACATGTCGCTCGTTGTAGATTATTCGCACACGGTTCACGTTCAAATAAAATCGTATGTGGCGTTTTCACATAGAACGGATTTGAGTTTTAAATAAAACACGTTTAACGTAACGTTAACCGTGAACACATCTCCTGCAAAACCTCCGACATCCAACGTTTGCGTTTCGAACCGTTAAAGATTTTTTAAAATGTGTATTTCTCGCGTAAACTACAGTCAAGGTTTAAGTTTTGAAATTAACAAATGCTTTCTGAACTGGACGTTTACGCGAGTAGTATATATTTGAACGCTTTAAAAAATATATAAAATCTCTTATTTTTAACGTATTTTTAATACGACTCGACATTTCGGATGCTTGTAGCAGCAGTGGTAAGGGGAGAGATGTACAAAACCTAAAACTTTGTTAATGCTAATTTTAATAAATATAATCCATATATAGTTTGAATTTTTGATAGTTACATTTCCTATTTACGTTTCTACATATCTACGTTTTTTCAAAGACCACGCAAAATAGCCGTTCTATGTGATTTACCCCACTCGACAGCAAGCATATTTTTGGTGGAACAAACACAAATAACGATATTTATCGACGTGGAAACTTCTGTGCGACCGCTGTCTCTTGTTACGAACGTTTCATTTGTTCAAATGTAATTTATTAATATTTTAATTACGCTTCGTATCGAGTCTACGAGTTTAACTTTTCTTCGTTTTAGAGTCTATCTTACGAGTTTAACATTTTTAAATGAGGAATGCTGTGCTTGTCTGTAAGTTAAATACTAGTTTGTATAGACGTCAATTATATTGTATTGAATTAGTATGTATTAGTTGATAAAAAAATATAAAGTCATTTGTTTATTCTTAAAGATAAAATACGTTTCTTCTAGAGTATGTCCGGCTGCGTCATTTGGGGCAAAACAATGATGACACTGAGGAGAAGACTCCCGTTTAGGGACCTTGTGCAGGTAGTGTCCGAAGCATCCATGCCCCGACAATACCTGCGCAATCCTGAATGTAATCGTGCCTTTTTTTCTTTTCATCCAGAAGCGCCTAGATTCAAATGCCGGGAAGAAACGGCTAGGACACAGCACAGAATTACGATAAACTAAAATCGATTTTTGGTAGAGACACAAAAATATAAATTGTGCCATTTGCAAAGCTACTTAGGTAATCCAACCTTTATCATCAATTGGTATAAAATGCAACGACGTGTTAACGATATACGACCATTCTTATTAGTTAAAATAAGCAATTTCAGAAACGTAGACGCCATAAAACTTAAACTGTAGAACGGTAATAGCGAAGGTGAGATCATATCGAAATAAAATAAGAAAAGGCCGAAACTTCGAGGATTTATTGGAGAATTCTTCCTAACTGATATCTGATTGACCCTGAACGCTTTAGGCAAACCGAGCGTGAGAACCTTTTTGTTTTTAGGGTTCCGTGGATCTATCACCATTTCCCGCCCAATTAACCTGAGTTCTGATGATTTTGCGGTTCTGACTTATTGAAAAGATACGACAATAAAATCCCTCTTTTCTATAAGAACGCGATCTCGGAATTAAATGTGCTTGCAGACAAGGTGTTCTTAGGCCAAGTACACATAGGACGGTTTTATTTTTTTATTTGCATTTTATGTATTTACACCAACGTTGGTATTTCATTGTCTTAAAAATATGTTGGTATTATAAGAAGAATTACTACTACAGAAATCCAAATTTGATCATTAATAACATTATGTTGGAGAAGAACAGACAAGCATGAGGTCCACTTGATGGAAGGTGACATACCGGCCATATAAAATTTAAACAAATGCGCTATCAACCTATATTCGGAAATCCACAGACTGATGCCAAAACGCGATTAAACTTGAACTACTTTTTCATCTGAGGACGTTGGTTCGTGACCCGGGT